TATATATATAATATTTTAAAAAAGTAATTCAAAATAAATATTTATAAATATTTATTTAATAACTTACTAATATTGTATACTGCTGGAGTTAATACTTTTAATCTTAACAGTACTTTGCGTAAGTATTTCATCATTTAGCAAAGTATTATATATTAGTATTTAAATATTGACAATGTTCTGCGTAAGTATTTTATCACTGGACGAAGTATTACATATCAATATTTAAATATTGAAATCAATCATAAGGTAGGATTTGTAACATTAAATATTGAAATACTTGAGTACTAAAAGCTATATTTGAATCACAGAATATTACTAAATATTGTACTTTTAATACTGAAAATAAGTAATTAATCAATGATTCTTAGTATGATATTTCTATAAGGGTAGAATGTACATTAGTATTGTAGAATAACACAAAAAATCTCATCAAAATCCGTGACATCAGGTATGTGCGGTCTCCTTGTTAGACATATCCAGGATATCTTAGAGAATGTCCTAAAGCTTCCTGAATATATCCAGGACAATCCCAGAATATATTGTATTATCTAGGAAATACCATACTGAATATAGTTTACTATTAAGTTAGACACATAATTGATATCTTTACGTGTGCAAGTTATTCATTGATATGTTATATTTACTTCTATTAAATATGTTATGGATTTAATTGAAATATAAGGAAGTATTTCAACTCATATTTTTAAAATATTCTTTAAATATTTGGAAAGCAATATTATATTTAACAATATTTGTAAAATATTTATAAAATATTATTAAAAACGACTAAAAATTTTTTTATGCACGATATCAACGTTAAAAAATGTAGACTTTCTGTTTTTTGCTTACTAGAAAGATATTTGTTTGTAGATTATTTAATGTGCACACATAATTTTCCGATACATTTTGATCTTGCGATAAAATTTTGTTTATGTACACAAATAAATTTCGTGCGTGATTTATTGAATATTTACGCATAAAACATTTCTTGAGTAGCAAGCCCATAAGCTTGATCTACAATGTGTCTTTTGCTTCTTATTTCTTTCTCTTTATATCTTTCCGACTCTAACCTTAAGCTTTAAGCTTGATCTACAATGTGTTATTTGCTTCATGTTTTCTTTCTTTATTTCTTTATGACTTACACCTTAAGCCTTAAACCAAAAAAGGACAAAGAATAAGAAACAGAAAGCAAAGAGTACATTGTATATTAGGCTTTAAGACATAAAGAGAACAAAAAACAGAATGTAGAGAGCACATTTCCCAGCAAACACAGAACATAACTGTGATATAACACAGGAGTAACATAACTGCTGTTATACATTATTAATATTGAGGTTACTTAATTTCCTTTATAACTGCGATATAACTATATTATAAAACTGTTATGTTATTATGTTATTTACTGGTTAAGTTACATCAACAATATAACAGCAACATAACTTTAATATAACATGTTATATAAGAAGTCTAATGTTTGCATTAAATTTCAGTTGTGCAATATTTTTATACACAAATGTAAAATTATATTTTAGGTGTTTCTCGTATATAAAATGTGATATTTTAATATATGCAAGGATCGCTATAACGATATTGTAAAACTAGAGTTCTTACAAAGAGTCTAATCGTAACCTTACTCTGTCAAAGAGTAGTTTAGTTGTTGAAGAGTAGTTTAGTTGAAATGTTTAGTTTAATTATATGCAGACATTACCCTTATAGAAATATCATACTAAGAATCATTGATAATTACTTATTTTCAGTATTAAAAATATTGGATAATAAGTAATTATCAATGATTCTTAGTATGATATTTCTATAAGGGTACAAGCTACTACTCAAATATCAATTAATTTATAAAAATATGTTTCTAAAAATATTGTAATTATATATTTCGTATCAAAAATAATATTTTTATTAAAGATGATAATACAAAAGTATCTTGCCATTCTAAATAAATTAGTTCCAAAATAACATAAAATATTCCAGAATCATCCTAAAGCCATTCTAGATATTTAGTGTTCCAAAATGTTCTCAGTCTATTGGTTCTTATGCTATTGAAGCTATTTTTATTTAATCATTTCTATTTCTCTGGACATATTCAAATGGAAGGTATTACTACTGTAACAGTAATTTCCAATCAAAAAGTATACTATTTCACTATAAAAGTGGACTCCATAGGACAAATTATGCCATCTCGTGATCATTGTTCTCTTATATACCAGGTGTGCCAGGCTCTCCTTTTATTTTTTATATTAAGTGGAAATGTAGAACGAGTTGAGGTGAACATAAAAGTTCTATACCCTTTTGCGATATTCGCAGTAATAACTAAGAAATTAATTGTAAAAGATTAAGGAAAAACGCACGCTGAATGGTTGAGGATGGAGCGCTCGCGACTTAATAATATAGCGCACGGATGTCGGCGCGCGGTGATTGGAAAAACAACGCACCATTACCTATACTTATATCGCTGCACTCATGGACGTGGTATATATAGACCTTGCCATACGACCAGAAAAATGAAGCCAACATGTACAGCCCCTCTCTGTTCTCTGTCTCTTTCTGCATAGACAAAGTGTGCAATAAAATTTAAATAAGACTTTTACGTGCCAGTCTAGTCGGGTTGCTATTGCGCTTTATAATATTATGGAAACGAGAAATGGATGTACGCGCAATAAAAAGTGACAAAATAGGAAAAAAACTATAGCCCCTCTATTCTAGCTCTCTTTCTAGATATTAGCTTCACTCTATTAGACAACAGAACATAGGGCATTCGGAGTCACATATACTATGTCCATGGCTACATCTCGCTTCGACGCGGTGCGGCAAGACGTAGGATCAAAGCGCTGACATTTGCTATATTACTGGGTCGCGAGCGCTCCTCTTTCAACCATTCAGCGTGCGTTTCTCCTTAATCTTTTACAATTAATTTTTCGGTTATTATTGTGAATATCGCAAAATGATATAGGGCTTTTCTACATTCCCACTTAATGTGAGAAGGAAAGTCTAGGATAACCTGTATATTAATGTATTATATTTTACGTACAAGACAGGAAAAAACGGAAGCAATCTAGCGAATGATTCGATATCCAGATATAAGAATGTTATATAACATAGATGTAATGCAAATAAACATTTGTTATATTTTAATTATGTTGGTGTTATACCTATAACCTGTGTTATAATTATAACCTGTAAATAATAAAGAATTATAATAATTCTAAAATACAATTAGATTGCAGTTATAAAAAAATTATATAACTTTAACATTAATAATGTATAACATCCGTTATATTACGTGTTACTTCTAGTGTTATATAATAGTTATATTCAGTGTTTACTGGATATATATAATGAATAATAGTATACAGATGTAGATGTCATAGATTCCAAAATTTCTTATAGCAATAAAAATATTTTTATATTAAAATCGCCATCGATACATTAATTTCTTAGTATGCAGATAAAATAGAAAATTTCATACAACATTAACGCTTACCCAAGTAGGAATCGTATACGTTTCGCCAGTACGGAAAAATGGCCCGATACTGAAAAGCGGATGCCCGGTTTTGATACTGGCTCAGTACTGGACCTAATATAAAAAATCTGTATTATTGATACTAGTTCCATACTAAAGTTAGATACTGAATAGTCGTACCGTACGTGTACTGGGGCGTTACCGAAAAGTGTTTATCGTTTTCAGTACTGGCTCAATATTAAAAAAAGCTGTATTATTAGTACTGGCCCTATTCGTAGAATCAATACTGGATACCAAAGTAAGAATCGTATACAATCTGCCAATAGAGAATATTGGGCCAGTATTGTGCCCGTACCGAAAAATGAACGATACCAATATCTTTTATGGGAAAACGAAAGAGGTCACTAACGCGAAACCTACATATCTCAGTGGTAAGAATGCTTGCCTGACAAGTGGAAGACTCGAGTTCAATTCTAGTTGTCGTCCCGAAAATTTTTTCCTCATATGACTATTAGAAATAGGTAGAAACAAGAGCAGCCCGGCCATGGTCTGATCTTTCTTTCCATACTATATAGTTGTGATATTAACAATTTTACAAATAATAAAAATTACTAGGAATCAATACTGGCCTAGTATTGGGAATAGATACTTCCCTAGTGCTAAGAATCAATACTTTTTTATACTAGTACAGTACTATTTTCGGTACTGTGACAGTACTGTTTTCCGATACTATCATCCGATATCCTTTTCTGTATCATCCCAGTATCACACTAATACTAAATACGTACTGTCATCTAGTAGTCCATTAATCTGTCCATTAATGTGGACACAGATGGCTATGGTTTTGTAATATGATTCTGATCGAGCTTACTATCAGTCTGTCAACATACCGTTAATATCTTACTTATAGGAGTTTAATTCTAGAACACTACACTTAGGTAGATCACACCTATGCTTTCATTAAAAACGTAGACTATAAATGTTGATACCTTATAGGATAATATTTTTTTCTTTCAGATTTTCGTAATTTGCACTTTGTTGGCCGTAGCCAACGCTGGCTACGTCGGAGTGCCCTCTGCCTTGCAGTATCAAATCGCACAGGTTCATTCTCACGCTATCACGTCAACATCCGACAATATATTACGTAGCCACGGTAATTTAGCGCAAGTGGCCACGCAGACGAAGACCATTGACACGCCGTTCTCCAGCTCGAGCAAAGCCGACATTCGTGTAACTAATCCAGCAGCAGTCACCTACGCTCATCTTGCTCATCCATCTACCCCGTTAACATACGCTGCCACGGCTACCGCTCCAGCGACTGCTCTCGGAGTCGCTTATTCACCAGCTGTTGAGGTGTCCCATATGAGTTACAACAGCCCGATCGGAATAGCTTACGCCTATTGAAAGTCGATAATCGCATTCTCTATGCCCTGACATATGTATCAAATTAATATAAATATAAATATAATATTTATTCACGGCTATAATTTTGACACTTATACAATTGCTCGTGCAATCAATGAACGATACTGCATATAATTATCCAATAAAGATTATCTTTTAATCTAATTGTTTTATACTTCGACTACTGCTGTCGCAATTCTCCAATGATATGAAATGGGCCCCGATTTTTGCGCTTGCGCTGTGAAGAAGTGGAAAAACAAGTGACACGTAAAAATATGAAATTTGCACAAGTTGGCGTTTTTAAAAATTTCATTCCTTTCAAATATCTTTTATAAGATGTTTTTCTACATACAGAAATATATATAAACGTAAAATATTATATATAGCGGTACAACGGGACGTTCATAGTTTTATTTACAAAGTGATTATGTACAGTCCAAATAGCACGTGAACATTCACTGAACGTCCATCGAACATCCGTTTGTAGACATTAGAACGTCCAGTGGATGTCTGATTAAAGTCCGCCGGACGTTCAATGAACGTTTATTTGAGATACCCCAGATAGCAAAATTAAGTTCAATGGACGTATATGAAATGTTATTTATTGGACCATGGACGTCCAATGAAACGTCATATTTAAGGTCAAATGATATCCCATTAGCCTTCAGTAGAACGTCATAATTCCGGTCTATTAATGTACCATATTTTAAAACTTCCAAGGGACATAATATCAGAACTTTTTTGAAATCTTTTATGGACATTAATTGTACATTTGTTTTTGAGGTTATATAAGTGTTGGGATTATAGTATTTATGAACATTTAATTATATTATAAAACATTAATAGGTACTTTTATAGAAAAATTCTGAAAATAAAAACTCAATCATAAAAATAGTGTCTTATAATATAATTAAATTTTCATAAACAGTGTCTTATACCCTTATAGAAATATCATACTAAGAATTATTGATAATTACTTATTATCCAGTATTTTTAATACTGAAAATAAGTAATTATCAATGATTCTTAGTATGATATTTCTATAAAGGTAATATAATTAAATTTTGATAAACACTATTATAATACTATAGATAATACTATGATGATCTAAAATATCGCGGCATTCCAATGATATCCTTATAATATATTTTAAACATTTCTACTGTGTGGATTATATAATATTGACGACATTAATATCATATGTTATGAGGAGTATTTAAATATTAAATTTTTTTTTAGTAATAACACGTCACATATCTATGTCTGTGAAATCCAAACAAATATTCATTTTTATTTTATTTGTACACTATATTGTACTTTGGATCTTTTTTCTACGTGGAAAACAAATTTATAAATAATATTGGTTTTCAACAAAGCTGTAGCAATTTAAAGTTGCCAAGATCTCGGACATTCTTATTGTAATGTATGCCTAGAAAATATGATTGTATACGAAGTGTTAATATTGGAAATGTAAAATATATTATAAATAAAATTTTTCAATAACTTGAAGGTAGAATTAATAATAAATAAAAGAATAGTATATTAAAAATAATATAAACTATAAAGAAACGCAAATTAAATACACATGATGTCACTACAGATATTCAGTACAGACTAATATTTAGGATTTTACTATTGGCCTAATACTGGCCCAAAATTGGTCGCCGGATCACCTATATTGGCGCAATAATGACGACCATAACTGGCTCACCAATGGGAATACTATGGAATGATAACTTCGGCCCAATAATGGATTACTATATACGGTCAAACGTTATAAATAATATTGGGCCATTAATTGTTGATTTATCATGCCAATATTTAGCCAATAATACTTTGCTGTGCTTACCTATATAGGATTTTACAATCGGCCCAGTAAAAAAATAAAATCATTATTAAATATTTAATATATTTAATATATTTAAATATTTAATATATTTATCATTGTTAAATATTAATAGTAATCAAATACTGAAAATTATTGTGCAAAGATGAAAAATGAGAAAATTATAATATTATACAAAAATATAGTTATAATTTTTAATTTTCTCATGTCTCATAAACCGCTAGAAACCGAAGATTGTTAGCAATATGCTCCAAACATTCGCGACACTTCCCTCAATAATTTCGATCCCAAACGGTAATACCGGTCACCCACCTATGTCCTGACTGCGTTAAAGTGTTGCTTACTTAATAATCGAACAGAACGCGGTGATTCCAATGACTCCAACGATGTTCTTACGATTTATGCTTATATAATGTATTCTTATAATATTCAAAGTATATTATAACATACCTAGCAAACATCAAATAACAGTCATATAACTTTTATTTAGTGTTTGTTGGATAATTTATTAATAGATATTGAAGCAATGCAACAATATTCGATATGTAATTCATATTGATATAATGTAGTGAAGCAGTGATAATTATTTTTAGATTTTTAACAGAATGTTATAATGATTAATCAACATAAAAAAATTAAAAAAATCTAAGAAAATCCAAATCAAACAAATCGAATTATTAAATTTTGAAAGAAACTTTTAAAGAATACTATTTAATACTATTTTTTTTAGTGTTGTTTCATCAAATAACATGGTTTCTTTGGACGAAATAAAAGTTTTTTATTTTCATCATTTTAAAAAATGATATTTTGTTTAAAGTAGGTATACTAGGCGGGTCCTAACCCAGGTTCTCTGAGGAGGGGGGCGGGGGTGCGTGGCGAGGGGAACTGCGGGCGCGGGGGCTGACGTCACACGGGAGAGGGGACTTACCGACATTTCTTTTACCGATATATTACCGGTATTTTTACCAACATATTTATTTTTTACCAACGTATATATATTTTTATCAACATATTTATATTTACCAACATATTTATTTTTTACCGACATATTATTACCGATATAATTGGTAATTTTTATCGACTCTGCGATCTATTTTTACCGACATATCTTTCCACATATTTTTTTTTTTTAACATAATATCGATATAATTGACCGTTTCATCAATTCTCCCCTTTTCGACGTGTTCGCGGCCTTTCCCCCCCTCCCTGTTGGCAGCGGTTCGCGAGCGGGCCACGCCACCCATTCGCCTTTCCCTCTCTCCGGCCACCGGAGCGCCTAGAATATTCTCGAATATTGCAGAAAGATCTTTTGAGGAGAACATTCGGTCTCGAAAAGAATTTTATCTAATGCATAGAGATACTTTGATGGGTAGAGACATCCTTTTAGTTTTTATCTTCAACAGCCCCCCCCCCTCCCAAAAAAAAGAATTTTGTCTTTCGAAAACACAAGTTGTATAGATCTCGACAACACAACACGTGAATATTATGTCGCGATTAAGTGTTCTAGTGCGCGAATGTATCGTCGCGGGTTCTTTCGCGGACCCGAATATCGATCGCGAGAAATATTTATCTCGCGTATCGGAAAGCGACGACGCCGAAAACTATAATTTATTTTATATCTTCGCTTGCGAATGCAGCAGCATGCTACTTGTGTTGCTGTTTAACAGCGGAAGACTTTGTAACGATCGGATCCAAGAAATTGTGAGGGAAATCCTCATAATCAGACGTGATTACGGGGAAGAAATGGAGGATGTCTGGAGTATGATCGGGGTTGTACTCAACCATACTAGGTAAGCGAACTATCGTAATAATTATATAAAAACTACAATACACTAGAAATATATATGAAATTAATGATTATTATTTTCCCCATAGCCCAGGAAATTCGACCAAACATGTGATTTTCTCGCCTATAAGAACGGCGGTAGAACACGTCGATAACGACGTGGGTAAATTTACATATATCAGTAAAATATTAATTACAACTTATTTTAAAACCACTTTTTTATACGCTAATAATATATATAATTTTAGAAATCATCCAAAACGAGCAAGTTAACAAAGAAGTGGAGGTCATCGACATTTCTGGTGATATCGACCACTGGTGACCCACCAATTATCTGGGAACGCTTTCCCGACTATGTCATTGATATCAACGACCCAGCGATTAATTGGGAACATTATCCCATTGCAGAGATTCCGCTCCAGAAACGAGGTAAGACAGCGTTAATTTTCAATATAAATTCATATGTAAGTTCAACACAATTGATCATTTTATCGATCCTCCTTCTTTCAGTGACCCCTCCGTTCATGATTCACCCTCCAGAATATTCTAGAGTACTCGAGACATTCCGAAAACTATGCGAAAAAAATTTCTCTAATGTATGCGTACCTATGTAGATACTTTGATGGGAAATAAAAAGAGAAACATTAATACATTAAAAAAAATGTTTATTTATAAAGGTTTACAACTCTCTCCGGGCGCTGAGACCACCAATTGAATATTTTTAATACATTCTGTAAAGCACAATGCTTAATATGATTATTACATCGTAAAATATTGGTTGCATCCAATTTGTCCAAGGAAACTATGTCTTCGTAATCCGCATCCAAGGTCTCGATGATCAGGTTACTTTTTACATTGTCGTCCAGAAGATTCACCAACCATTCTCGCTTTTCATACCCCTTTACGTATACGAGTGGGGGGAAAAGTCTTTATGTTCCACATCGCATGATTTGCCAACCACAGTTGTCGTATTCAAGTGCTTGGCTCTGCTGTATGCAACAATCCCGTCA